CAAGAACGTGAGGCGACAGCTGTAGAAGTCTTTCCGCGTTCAGGGGTTCTGGAGAAAGTGAGAGCACCGGACACGTTTGTTTATGTCTGCATAGCAAGCGCTGCGGGGATGGGCGCTGGAAACTCCCCGCACTACTAACCAGCGAAACACCATTGAGACGCTGTGTAACAAGCTCAAAGTAGCCATCCTGCGGTGGTATTAGGAACAAGAACACCGACTATCAAAGAAGCTAGCAATACAGCGATACCGTCTCTCTTCGAAACCTGCATCTGCAAGGTAACGACCGCATTACCACAATGCGTCGTCCAGCGTTAAAAGCTTCAGGTTGTCACAGATAAGGCGTCCATTGTCGTACTGCCACGCACTTAGAAGCCCATTTAAATGCCTTAGCTGAGACTGGAAAAATTGAAGAAAAACCACCAGCCGCAGGTCGTCATGGCAGGGGCTGCTCGGTAGCGTCTGTCATCTATCACCAACTTTTTCTATAGATAGGGCAAGTGCCTTTCGTTACAAAATAATTTCTGTGCGAATTGTATAATCCTCAGAAAATGGAGGGAAAAGGGCAGGAGCAGAACGCTCGTCAGAGAGCCAATGTGCGTCATGGGGTGAGACCCCCCATTGTGGAACCCTCAAAGCAACCCCAGAACTCTAGCGCATCAAAGCCGAGTAGTCGTTCAAAGTTCTTCATTTTTTCATGCTTCTTTATTGCCTCTTTTGTAGTGGGAGTCATTGTTTGTTCCCACTTCCTGAGGCCAAAATCTGCCTCAGTATTGCCGGCCAACCTGGAAGAGCTCTTTGCTCGAGCTGCACACCTAGTAATCCCAAGCAAACCAAGCGATCAAACGACTTCCTCGGAGCCGGAGCAGCGGAAAATGGCCCCACTGACGGAGCTCAAGACATCAGTTGTAAAGCCAGGGTCAGGACCGACGGTTGCAAAGGGGCAGCGTGTTACCGTCCATGCTACTGGATCCGTTTTGCAACCGGATGGAGCTACGAAGAAATTCTGGTCCACGAAGGATCCAGGCCAGCAGGTAAGCTCTCTTAAGGACAGCATTTATGCGTATGTGAGTGGCTGGAACGGATGAGATCGAGAAAGTCTCATATGAGTCGTGCAGATGTTTATGTATTATGCAAAATGTCTTGGCACTCAAGGAATCTTTTCCTGGCAAACACAAGTCCGCGCATCATTTGAAAAGCTGAACATTGCTTGCTGCACCTTTCATGGTTTCGTGCTGTGCAGCCCTTCACGTGGCAAGCAGGACTTGGCCAAGTGATTGCAGGTTGGGATCAAGGGGTAATTGGCATGAACCAGGGAGAAACAAGGATGATATACATTCCGGCAAGAAGTATGTCTAACTGTTATTTCGCAAAGTGAGAAAATTCAGATAGTAACGTCATTCCAGGTATTGAGAGTGCGTTGCCGGTCGATGTCTTGTTTTTTGTGCACAGTGGGATACGGCCAGAATGGATTTCCAGCTTGGGGCATCCCGCCTAACGCTGATCTCCAGTTTGAAATAGAGTGTCTGCAGATCCAGTGACATGGTTCGAGGGCTTGTTTGACTTTCTACAAACGAAATGCAGGCGAGCTTCTGCTCCCTTAGCATTGGGTGCTGACTGTCCAAGTTGGAAGAAAGGCCGAACGCGGCCATTTGTTAGTCAGCCAACGCAAGTGCTCCAGACTTTTCTACACGCAGTGCACGGCATCATGTGCATAAGAGTAGCGCTTTTGATGCAGGAAATCGCATAGAAACTTGAAGCATAGGCCACTTGGGTGGTGGAGCACGAGCCTTCTCCAGTAGCTGTATGAACTAGCTTGCTTTGGTAGCATTTAGAGCTATGGTTTAGCAATGTGAATAGCTGCAGCGTTTTGTTTGAAGTCTTAGGACACTGTATACTGGGTTCGCAGTGTCAGGTGGTTTCGGGTGGACAACAAAGCTGAAACATATTTTTTTGTCGATGAGTTCTGGGAACATGAATTATAATTGTGAGACCGCTTTCCAGATCCATGCTCTAGTATTATTTCACATGTACTGACAAGTGTTGTCCAAGTCAGAACGCTGCGGCGCACGCTGACACGGACACTAGTTCCGAAAGCGGTGCGGCGACCGCAGTTTGCGGTGTCACGACAGCTGGGCTTGTGTCATGTCGCTCATTTCGAATCACTTTGCGCATTTTCATAACGACCTCCATAGAACTTCTGGCATCTCGTTGGGCGTTATCCCCTTCAAACTCCAACGACCGAAAATGAAGCTCACTTTCGTCCCTATAGCCGTCGTTCTTTCCACCGTCATAACTAGCCACGTTGTACCAGGCCAATGCAAGATCCTGTCGGCGTCAATGCTCTCGGGCATGTTCTTCGGAACCAACACTCCAGAGAAGGCTGCTCCCGCCAGTGTGACAGCAACTGTCGAAGCTGCTGTTGGGTTGGACGCTCCCGCTGGCGGTGATGAGATGAGTGCTGCGGCGACTAGTGGATCTGCGGATCTGACTCCCAAGGCCGACGTCGTCAGAGAATTGGCTGAAGCAACACAACAAGCTGACCAAGCAGTTCCTGGGCAGGACGTTGCCGCGAGCCAGACTGACGCCAGAGCAGCCCAGGCCGAGGAGGCGACTGAGAAGATCGTCGCTGCTGCAACTGAGAGTGGCGCTCAGCCTACTGCCACGAGCGAAGCAACCGACAACGCGAAGGCACCTGCCAGCTCGGAGCAGCAACTCACTGAGGAGGATGCAGCAAAGAATTCGGAGCTGCTCCAGTCCGTCAGCGAGTCTGCCGAGACCTCCTGGATCTCGAAAGTCAGCAAAGACAGCGCCATTGAAGCTTTACTCCCACTCGTTGCCTTGACGCCTGTCCTGGCGGCTGCTGGCTTCCATGCTGACATCGACGAGTCGTCACCTGGTGCCCCTCTTGTTCGTTTCCCTAGCATCGACTATGCCGTACACGTAGAAGACCTCAAGAACTACAACTAAAGCACTCCTTCCGGTATGGTGTTGGCTCATCGGCTAGAGGCCGGAAAACGGTTTCAAGTTAAGCATTTGGAGCTGAACGGTTCAGTGACGCACAGTGTGGCCTCAGTAGCTAACTCAGCAGCGATGAGACATAGATCATGCTGTGCGGACTTCGGCATCAGCTCCTATCGTTTCACTGAGGCGTTTTTCTTGCTGATCCATCGCGGTACCGCTTTGGGATGCATTTGCAGCATTCGTTTGCGCAGCAAGACCCTATTTCCAAATCAGTCCGTTCGCTTAACTTTGCCGGCGAGACACTTTCCCTCCGTCTTTCAGTAATTGTTTTCTGCTGAACAAGTGAATAGTTGGCATCTAGGTGTGGTTTTGAGGCCATCGGCGTACAAATTTAGCTCTAGTGTTACTTCAACAAAACTAGGCACTACATGAGAGTGTGTTAAAACTCTAACATGCTCGCGTAAACTCTGCTCGCGAAGGGTCTTGAAATGCTCTTGATATGCGAAGGACCGCAGCACTTCCAGGCTTTATGTAAGTCTTCGCTGCTACGCAGAATACTCATTTTGCCGTCTTACGACGTTCTAATTTTTCTGGTAGGTAGCTGCACTTTCTGAAATTCCTCTTGATCATGAAACACTCGAAGGTTTCCTGTTGGGAGCTTTACACTGTCCAGAGGACGCATTCTGCAAGTTGAACGTACACAATTTGAAATCGCAGTTTGTGGTGGTGTCCACTCTCCGTTGGAGAAAGGGTTACTAACAAGCAGGGGAAGCCAGCAATGCAAACAACGGTGAGGACAATAGCAACTATAAAAAAATGATCGCGGAAAAGTAATGTCATCTCCAACCTTGCAGAAAGCCTGCTCCTTTTGGTGGGCCGCAGTTTCTACCAGTGCTCTTGGCTGCGCAGTTCCACGAACTGTTTGTTTGTTGGGGCAACGATTTGAATAAATACGGCCAATATCCTTGAGCTCTAATAAATGGTCAACGGGGTAAGAACATGGAAGATGCCTCATTGAAAGCTGCCTACAGGAACGTGACCGTGTATCCACCAGGTTGCTTAAGACCAATTAAAATGAAATACCGCTTTTATGGTGGTATAGTTTTTGATGCATTTCTTGATAAGCGTTTGTTGCACTATTGTAGGGCGGTTTTCATGATTTTCACGAGCCTTTTTACTGTATTCTTTCGATACATCTTGCTTTTATGCCACGCTGGCACATCATAGATACAACAGATTTTCAACTCGGCAAATGTGGGGCCAACAGGGTTGCAGTTTTGAGTGTTGTCAATTTACCAATGGAGTCCTCAATGAAGGAACTTCCCCAGTAGCATAAGCAAGATGTTATCCGCGGAGGATACATTATTTTTCTGTGTATCATAAACGGCGTTGATACTCGTCAGTCATGTTATTTTCAAATTATCCTTTATTCCAGGAAAAAAAGCTGGCTCGTGCCACGGCTTGGCGCCCGTGCATTCGTGTTTTTTTGCATATTCCATTGTGAGAGGCTCACTGACACACAGTTGAGTGACGAACTCCATTTTAGTTCTTTGCTGGCTTTTGAAATTTGTGGGAGCAAACTGAGCGGCAGTCGGTGGACAGTGAGCAGCGAGTAGGTCGTGCCGCTGTGTTACCTGGTGATCACAAGACAGGCAGTTTTGGAGGCGAGTTGCGCTCGAAGCCCAAGCTTTCTTTCAAAGTTACGAAATGCGTGCGGAATATTTTTCTAGTGAGTTCCCATAGCGGTGTATTCGTAGTGCCGAGTAGAACCCTTTCACGTCCGGGCTCGTCGAGTCCGTCCCTGTCGGTATGAAGAGCTGGCTTGCTGCGGCGCTGTGTCACACAAGTTCTTGAATTTTTTTGCAAGACCTTCGGAAATTAGGTCAGTTGCGACAAAATATTTGAAGTTTGAAGCTGAACAGGCCGCAGAAGCTCCGTGCCTCCACTCCCGCCGCAGCTGTTGACTTTTCCCTTGGCTGGCGTGGGCCGTTTCTGCTTTCCTTTGCGGGGTTTCGTTTCTTCGCCAACTCGGTGAGAGAATGAGCGGATCTAGCGAGGGTAAGGAAGGCGGAGCTGTGTCTGTTTCTGTGGACTCCTTGGCGTTTGAGCCGTAGCGTCGTTGGGTGTTAGTTGAATTTGACCTTGTACTGCGTGTCTGCTGCGAGTTGCTTCCTGTTTCCTTTCGAATTGACTCTCTTCTGCATTTTTGAGAGCTGAGTTCGTCTGAATGCAGCCGCAAGGCGTACGATCTCTCCGCGGGTCTGCAGGCCGCATCGTGCTGGAGCGGGACACTTGGCTGGTTGAGAACTTCAAAAACCCCAAGGAAATTCAAACACTCAAAGATGGGCAAATGAAACACAAAGTCCAGGCAAGCCACGGCACACTGCGCATCTCTGCATGCGGCCTTGCGCGTGCAACACTACGGGCCGGTAATTCAAGTTCACGTTTCCACTGGTTCGCTGCGGGCGTACGGAACACCAATTAATTTGCATGTTCGCGCATGCGTGTGCATTGGAGTCTTATTTGTCCGTCTCTGCTGATCCTTTTAGTGCTTTCCTTCCCGCCTGATCGCGCATCCGCAGCCCAGTGCCTGCACATTCAATTCTGTTCAAGTTTGGCTTCAGCTGTGCTTTGCGTCTGGGAATGCGTGGCTGCCAGCTTCCTTATCTGTGCATGAGTGCGCATGAACGCGGGTGCGGCGAAAGCACGCGAAAACGCGTGGAGGCAGCTGCAGAAGTAAATGTACCTTTTGCAAGTTCGGCAGAAACGCTAAGTTGAATAGTAAAGGCGATCCTGATCCGCATGGATCTGCTCGTTTTGAAAAGAATGCGAGACGCAGAGAGGCACATTTACAGAACTAATTATGCATTCCTTTGCGGGTTTTGAACGCGCGCCGATCTGGCTCGCGCTGAGGTGTATCTGCAGCTGCGAGCATACAGCTGGCTGCTGACTGCGGAGGGAATGCAGGTCATTTGTGCTTCGGGCATTTATTACTTCGTGTTTGGATCAAACTTTTGCGCAATTTTCACTTTTTGGCGCATTTAGTGTGGGAGAAGTCCGCCGGTTTGCGCATCGGGGGCTGGCGGCATTCGCGCAGGTGCGGGACTGCGCAGGGCTGAGCCTGCAGGTGGAGGGGAAGCTGAACTCTTTGATTGTGGACTCGTGCGCGGACTGCCGCATTTGCGTGGCGAGTTTAATTGCAACTGTGGAAATAGTGAACAGCCAGAAGATCAAGCTGCAGGTCACGGGCTGCGTGCCCGCAGTCTCGATCGACAAGAGCCAGAAAGTGGACATCTTCGTTTCCCACGAAAGCAGGGGCGTCGAAATCACCAGCAGCAAGTCCACGGAGATGAACTTGAACGTCCCCAAGGCCGGCGAAGACGGCGACTGGACTGAAATCGTCATTCCTGAACAGTTCCACCACAAGTTGAATCCCGACGGAAAGCTCCACACCAGGGTCTCGGACTTGTACTCTTGCTAGCCCGCGAGCTCCGGACTTGCTGCGCGTTTGTCTTTGCCAAATTTCCCTTCATTGCTTCTCCAGGCCGCCCGCTGCGCAGCACAGGCAGCAGCTAGTTGGCGCGGCGCTGCTGCGGAGTTCGCTCGCTCGTGGCTCTCCATTTGCTGCGCACTTTCCACTTTTGTTCAACTAATGATTACGAAAGTCTTTAGAAGAAAAAAATGGAGTTTTTGCGCAGCAACTGGACCCGCTCTCCGTACACCGCAGCCGCTGCACTCGAGGAGCGCCCGCACCCCACGCAGTGTACGTGCAGCCCCCGCGCGAACAAGTAATTCAAATTTTTAATTTAATTTAATTTAACTCTATTTTGTTTTATTCTGTTGCCTTCCGCCGCGCCCCTCGCTACTCACAAGGGCTTGGCCAGGTGGCTTCAGAAGACAGCAGCTGCGGAATCCAAAAATTCAAAAAAGTGAAAAGCAGAAAAGTGAAAAGCAAAAGGCTACTTCGCGCTCACCTCGCCGGTGTCTGTACACTGGAACGCCTTCTGCTTCCTTCGCCGCCTTTCTTCTTCTCCGGTACTTTTCCGCAATCCGTTGCAGCCACTTTTGGACTTTTTGTCAATGCTGCTGCTTTTTAATTTGCCTTTTCCACTTCACTGGAAGAGAAGCAGAAGCAACAAGTGAAAGTCATATTGCTTTTTGCTGCTGCTGCTCAATTAGCTGGCCGCTGCCTTTGAAGTGGAAAAGTGAAAATGCAAAAAACAATTTCAGCAATTGCAAAATCTGGCATTTCTGTTTTTTTCGCGTTTGCTCCGGTGTATGTACACGTAGTGCAAATAAAGATCCATTTCTCAATTCACATTTTCATTTATTTGCTCCTCAGTGTCGCGTCTTCGCTGATTTCGTTTTGAATTTCTTTCCTTCTCCCCGTTTTCTCTGTTCTTGCTTCTTTCCTCTTTGGTTTTATTGAAGGATATCCTTTCTTCTATTGTTTTATTTCCCCATTTCCTCTTTTTTTTCTTCTCATTTTTTTTGCAAATCGTCTTTCCCCGCCTTCTCCAAAACGCCGCTGGTCAGAGCCGCGGCCGCCCCGCCCGCTGCCTGGCGAAACAGCACAAGAGGAAAGCTCAGCAGCAAAACTGAAGTAGAATATTTTATTTTAAATTCAAAAAAAGAAACTGAATTTTCAAATTTAGAAGATTCAGTAGACAACGCAATTATTGAAGTGGACTTAAAAGGAGGACGGATTTAATTCCAAAACGCCAACTCCAAGACACGAACTCATCAAGTGCAACAAGCAGCCGCGCTGCAGCAAGCGCAGCAACTGGCTGCAGCACAAGTTCTGTGCTGCTGCTGCTGCTGCTGCTGCTGGAGCTCCGGGACCCACCATGAGAGCCGCAGCAGCAGCGAAGAGCCCGCGACTGGCGTTTGGGTCGACTTTTGAGGTTTGCAAAAGAAGGAATAAAATGCAAAAACAAAATCGAGGGGCTGCAGCGCAGCTGCTGCGCACGGCCTTGGGAAAGGCCACCACCCGCAGGCTCGACAGGCTCGGCTGCAGCAGCCCCACGGCCAGCTGCGGTTCGAGCAGCAGCAGCGCAGCAACAAGTGCGAAAAAGTGCAAAAGTAAGTCCGGAATAAATCCCTTATTTGCATAATAAATAACAAACAAACGCACTGAACTCTTGACAGATAGGAGCGCTGACTTCAGTCAGCCGTGGTCGCGGTGGCAGAGGGAACACGCAGCAGCAGCAGCAGCAGCAGCAAGAGCAGGAGCAGCAGCAGCAAGAGCAGCAGCAACAGTGGTGGGATTGTTGTTCCGGCGGCTGGGGGCGCACCTCGAAGGCGAGAAGGGAAAGGAAGGAAAGAGACAACGAGTCGAGAAGGAGACAAAAGAAAAGAGAAATAAATCCCAAAAAAAACGAGAACGAAATTATACGAGACAAACGCCAAGAGAAACACTGCAGCAGCTGAACGCACAGCAGCAGCAGAACGGCAGACTCAATTCAATGGTCAACCAATTGATAAATTCGCTAAGTAATTAATTAATTGATTAATTAATTAAAAGTGGAAGATGATAAATTAATACACTACAGGCTCATTGAACAATATAAAGGACTCGTCAGAAGCAGCAGCAGCAGCAGAATTACAAAAAGGAGCAGCGGCACAGAAAAACAGCAGCAGCAGCAGAAGCAAATGCAGAAGCAAGAGCAGCGGCTGCAGGAGAAGCGGCAGCAGCTGCAGCAGGAGAGCAGCAACTGCAGCAGGAGAATTCGGAGAAGCAGCAGCTGAAGCAGAAAAGGCAGCACCACCGGTAAGAGAAGCGGCAGCAGCAGAAGCATCAACAGCAGCAACAGCACAAGCAGCAGCAGCACAAGCAGCAGCAGCAGCAGCAGCAGCTTGCTTTACGGCACTGAACAGCAGAGAGCCGCCTGCGGTGGCCATCATCAGGAGAGCGAAAGCAGCTCCGATGAAGAGGTCCGGAGAAAGTTGAAAGCCGAAGCAAATTAAATCTGGATCTGAATTTGAATTTGAATTTATATTTAAATTCAAATTTGAATTTAAATTCGAATTTAAATTTGAATTTAAATTCAAATTCAAATTTGAATTCAAATTGCTCATGGGCGCTGCGCCGCCCGGCTGCATTAGCGCAGCCGAGGTGTCTGTACAGCTCAAACGCGCGGCATCGCCGCCCACCGAACTGCTGCTGCTGCTGCTGCTGCCTCTGCTGCTGCTGCTGCTGCCGCTGCTGCTGCTGCTGCTGGGAAGGGCTTGCTGCGACAGCAGCAGGGGGACCCAGGCCGCAATAAAGAGCTCGAGGGACACCTCAAACAGCAGCTGCAGCAGAAAGGCAACACGTGCTGCTGCTGAAGAAGCAAACAGGCGAATGGCCCCCAAAGAGCAGGAGAACCAGCGGGGCTTCTCTTTGCTGCTGCTGCTGCTGCTGCTGCTGTTGTTGTGGCACTGCTGAGGCAGCAGCAAGTTACTCAGCAGCAAGCCCTGGCCTGAGCGGCAAACAGCAGCAGCAGCAGCAGCAGCAGCAAAGCAGAGGCTGATGACGAAAAGCAGCAAAAAGGAAGAAAGAGACAAACGAAAACAGCTGGTTTTCAGGAGACTCCAAAGGGACACAAAGAGGACTTTAAAGAGACAAAAGAGTTGCACCAAAAGGTATTTAAAAAGAGATTTTAAATGAACTCTTTCAAGATGGACTGAAAAGACATTTAAGTGGGACTTGAAATAAACCCTTAAGATGCATTAAAGGGACATCTGAAAAAGCCTAAAGAGACAGCAAAGAGGCACTAGAGGGAGAATTAAAAGAGACTAAATAGATCCTAAAATGCATTAAAAAGACACTTTAAGGAGACTTTTAAAAAAAAATAAAGATGCATTAAAGGGCAATTTAAAGGAGAGTTTGAAGAGACACTAAAGACGCATTAAAAGGGCATCTAGAACAACTCTAAAAAGTAGAGATGCAGTAAAAGGACAAATAGTTTTAAAAAATAAAAGGAAGATGCACAAAAAGGATATTAAAAGGAACTTTAAAAGGAGAAGACCTTCAAAGAACTTTTTGTGGGCTTTAAGGGGGTTTTCCGAGGGTTTTAGAAGGGTTTTAGAAGGGTTTGAGGAGAATTCTAGAAGGGACTTAGAAGAGTTTTAGAGGGGTTTAAGGAAGATTTCAGAAGGGTTTTCGGAGTGTTTTAGGAGGGTTTAAGGAGGGTTTTAGGAGAGTTTTAGAAGTATTTTTGAATAGGGTCTACGGAGGGCTGTAGAGGGGTTTTAGGAGGGTTTTAGCAGGGCTTCGCGAGTGTTTAACGAGGGTTTGACGAGGGTTTAACGAGGGTTTAGTGAGGGTTTAGGGAGGGTTTTAAGAGGCCCTTGAGACGCCTTTTGGGGGACTTGAAGAGACACAGAAGAGACTCCTAAGAGACACTTAGAGTATTATAAAAAGATAAAATAATAATAAATATATTAAACATATACTAAATATATAATTTGCAAATAGACTAAATATATATATAAAAAGCACGAAAAAGATAATAAAAATATATTTAAAATATATTAAAATGCATTAAAGATACATCGGAGAGATGGCAAAGAGAGTTTAGAGAGACACCTAAGAGACAACAAAGATGTTTTTAAAAAGTATTAAAGAGACACTAAAGAGATAATAAAGGGACATTAAAGAGACATTAAGAAGCCATTAAAGAGATACTGAAAAGATTAAAAAGAGGTGTTGAAGATGTATTAAAATGATTTTGAATATCTGTTTAAAAGATGTTAAAGATAGATATATCAAAAGGATGAGGAGGAGGTATAAAAAGGCATTAAAGATATGCTAAAAATATAAAAAAGAGGCACTGAGGAGACATTTAAAAGACACTAATGAGACACTTACAAGACAAAAAGAACTGGAGAAGAGACGCTGAAGAGAAGCAGAGAAGAATCCAATTCAAACAATCAAACTAGATTAAAGAACAAAAAATAAAAATAAAACAAATAAAAACATTTGGCGACTCACAGGAGGCCCTTGCCTGGCGGCGCTTGTGCTGGGGTGTATGTACAGCTAGCCAGCGCAGCGCGAACGCGGAGACACAAAAGAGACAAATGATTTCAGATAAATAAAAGGGACAAAAAGGGCCCCCCAGGTGAGCAGCAGCAGCAGCAGCAGCACCAGCAGCAACGGCAGCCACTGCAGCAGCAGCAGACCCGTGCGCCAGCATTCGATCCAGCTGCCGTTGCGGCTGCGAGCCCTGCTGCTGCTGCTGCTGCAGCTGCTGCTGCGCCTTCTCCTGCTGCCCCAAGAGCGAGTGCTGCGCCCCCGTCTCCTGCTGCTGCTGCTGCTGCTGCTGCTGCTGGGTTTGTCTGTGTCCGTGTACAGCGAAGGCCTCGAAGGCTGTCTCCAAAAGGCTGGTGGCTGCGCCCCCGAAGAGTCTTGCTGCTGCCAAGAGGGAAAAGGAGACAGTGCTGCAGCGGGTGAGCAGCGAGGCCCCCAGGGAACAAAGGAAGAACAAGCAGCAGCCAAGAGGGGGGCCCCCCAGGTCCAAGAGGGGCCCCCAGAGGAAGCCGCAGAGGGCCCTTGCTGCTGCAGAGAGCAGCAGCAGTTTGTTGACGGCGTGCAGCGGGAGTTTGTGGTGTACAGACAGCACGCGGAAGAGGCTGACGGCCTGCAGCGCCTCCGAGAGGCTCGCGAGGAAGCTGAGGCCCAAATAGCAAAAGTAAATCGACAATTTGAATTTCATGTTTTGTTTTTGTGAAGATTCGCCGCTTTCCCGCCACTTAATCCCCCCAGATGCGCTGTACAGACACCGCCCGGCGCGCGCCGAGTTCTTCCCCGTCCGCCGTCGATGCGGCCATCGTACACGTTCCGGAAGGCTCGTTTAACGCATTTAAATGCACTTGAATGCATTTAAACTCACTGATTCCTTTTATTATTTCTTTTTTGCAAATTTATTCGCTTTTCCCGCCGAAAACGCCCAACAGACGCACCACAAAGGCAGCGCATGCGCGGGCCGGCCGCGTCGGCGGAGTGAGCACCTGCGGCTGCGTCTTCGGAGTCAAAGCCGAGTCTCATGACCAACTAAATAACAAACTAAAGAAACTAAGCACACATTTGAACAAAATTAAACTACCTAAAAACCTACAACCGTGGCCACACTACCACTACCACTGCGCTGCTGCCACTGCTGGCGCTGCCTACGCAGCAGCAGCAGCGAGAGGCGCTGCCGGCGCGTGGACGTTCGCGCGGCGACTTAAAAGGACCTCTTTGGACGGAACAAATCAATTTGGGAGGGAAAGAACTCGTGGTGGGGGTGGGCAGGGCCGGCGGGGCCGCCAGCCGCGCGCCGGTGCATGCGTCCGGCGCATGCAGAAGGCGTGGCGTGGGCGCAAGAGGGTCGCGGGAAATCTGTTTGAAATCCAGCTGCGGCGCGGGGCCCCCAAGGGCCTGCGCCGCACTACAAGCCGCAGCCGCGCAGCAGCAGCGCAGCAGCAGCGCAGCAGCAGCGGCCTCAGGCGGGCGGGGCGCGCTGCTGCAGCTTCTCGCGGCGCTTGCGGAGGATGGGCAGGACGAAAGTCTCGGCCTCGTCGGGGTCGATGCGGATGGCGTGGATGGGCTTGCCCTCGTAGCGGCGGCCAGCGAGCTGCTGCAGGCTGCTGTCGCATGCAGCAGCAGAAGCGAACTGCAGCAGCACGTCGCAGATCAGGTAGGGGCTGCTGCCGCGGTTCTCGGGGGTCACCATCGCGCCCCCCACCAGCTCCGGCCCGCAGCCCTCCGCGACGTCTTCGAAGATCTCCTCGAAGTCCGACGGGCTCGTAATTTTGGCGGTCTCCACCACCTGCACTATCCGCAGGAACTCCGAAGTGCCTGCACGCACCCACCGCCTTGCGCTCGCACTTCCTCTTTGTTTTATTTCTGCCTTTGTTTTATTTCTGCCTTTGTTTTATTTCTGCGTTTGTTTTAATTCCCTGTTTGTTTTAATTCCCTGTTTGTTTTAATTCTCTGTTTGCTCTGTTTATTTGTTTGTTTGTTTGTTTGGTTGGTTGGTTGTTTGGTTGCTTTTGCTTTTCTGTTTGGTGGGTGGTGGTGGTGGTGGCTTGGGTTGTTGCTTCGGTGGGGGGTGCTTGGCTGGACGTGGGGTGTGTGTTCTTGTTCAGCTAATTTGATTTATTTGGTTTGACTTGTTTGATTTCTGATTTAATTATTTGGTTTCATTTATTTGCTTCCATTTGTTCGGAGCGGAATGCGATGGACTTGACTGGATCGCTCGACTGCTGCCAGGTCTCATGCTCTCCCTCAAACACTACAAACCCTCTCCAACCTTCATAAACCCTCTCCAACCTTCATAAACCCTCTCCAACCTTCATAAACCCTCTCCAACCTTCATAAACCCTCTCCAACCTTCATAAACCCTCTCCAACCCTCATAAACCCTCTCAAACACTTTCCAACCCTCATAAACCCTCTCCAACCCTCATAAACCCTCTCAAACACTTTCCAACCCTCATAAACCCTCTCAAACGCTCTAAACCCTCGCAAACACTCTAAACCCTCGCAAACCATCTCCAGCCTCTAACACCTCCTCAGACACTCTCAGACCCTCTCAAACCCTCCAGACGCTCTCAAACCCTCCCTGAACTCCCAAAGCCCTCTAAAACTCCCCAAAGCCCTCCGAAACACCCCGAAACCCTCCGAAACACCCCGAAACCCTCCAAAACACCTCCAAGCCCTCCAAAACACCCCGAAACCCTCCGAAACACCCCGAAACCCTCCAAAACACCCAAACACCCTTAACCCCTCGAAAGCCTCCAAAACACCTCCAAGCCCTCCAAAACACCTCCAAGCCCTCCAAAACACCCCAAA